GCCGGGGTCTGTGAGACCAGGGGCCGGGGTCTGTGAGACCAGGGGCCGGTCTGTAACCAGTATTAATGCAAACAATAACAGTATGCGAAACCAATAATCAAAGCTCTTCTTTTTATAAGTTTTAATCTGAATCAATAATTTTGTTTCTGTCTGTATTTTTGTTTCATCTCAGGGCAGAAATATAAATAACGATTTCATAAATAAATAAAACCTGTCTGAAATAAACTCTGCTGTCTTTTATAAAAACACATTTTGATGAAAGTGTTTCAGGTGAGCATTAAATATGAAACTAAAGTCTTCAATGACTCTACAATAAAAAACAACAAATCAAACTGATTTAATAATAAACTTTCTGTGTAAATAAAATCAGTCTCGTGCAAACTGAATGTTCCTGTTTTAGAAATCAGTTATGGTTCAATAATTACATCAGTCTCTGTTTCACCATCGGCTGTTAACCAACAGGAAGAGTTTCCGACAAAGAAGAACTGAACAAAATGAAGGTTTAGTTTCATGTACTTATACACACAATGTATGTTCATTAGTTCAAGATCAATATCAGACATTAAACTGACCCAATAGAAACAGTCCACAATAATAATAATAATAATAATAATAACCATAAATCAGATGTCAATCGTTTATTATATAAGAAGGTATAAAGTCAGACTTGTTTTTCAGTGCAGTTTAAGTTACATTAACAACCATCAGAATCAACAGGATTAATAAACATATTGATCAGGTGAAATAAGGCCGACAGGTGATCAACAGCTGATGGTGTTGGCACAAAAATCTAAATGTTAAATTTAATTAATGATCTGATAAACTCAGAAACTCTATTTAATACTGAACATTTCATTCTTTCAATAAACAATAAGCTGAAAATGTTTGATGGTTCCTGTTAGATAGCTAGTTCGCTTAGGTTTCTTCTAGTTGAACGAGGCTTGCTCAACTGTGATTGGAGCACAGAGCAAAAAGGGGCGGGACTTAGGAAGGGTCAATAACAAGGACAGTGAGTCCAAAATGGATCGTAGCTTATTAGTTTACATTATTTATTAACATAACTAACTTATCGACGGATTAGCAACCAAGCTAACTGGCTTACTAACTCACAGTTTGGAAGCCAGATAGCTTGATGGGCTATTTAGCAAGAGTAGTTAACCAACTCCACAGGTCACCAAGCTTCCAGCACCGACTGTTAAAGGAGGATGTGGGAAAAGAACTCAGTTGGGACCTGGTTTCGGCTCTTGGAAGAGTCCTCCTGGTTTTCGATGAATCAATCTTTGATCACTGATAGTCAGACTTAGTCCAGGTTCTGCAGAGACACTTCCGGTTTCAGGACCAGCTGAGTCCCAGTCCTCGGGTCATCATGACCTCCTCCAGGTCCTGGTCTTCCTTTCGTTCCTGCAGTCTTTGTTCCTCCAGCAGGGACACCAGCGAGTTTCTCTGCTCCACCACCTCCAACATCTCCTCCAGGATCAGACGCTCCTCCACCAGCTCCCACTCCTCCTTCAGGTGGTCTACACACAACCAGGACAGACCAGAAACACACAATTCACTATATTAAACATTATTTAACTTATAAATATCTACTCATTCTTCATGTTTACAGTCTGAGTGGTCTGACAGTGAGCTAGGTAACAGTGAGCTAACAGTGAGCTGCCGCCGCCCACTGACCTCTGCTATGTGTTTGTATTTAACGATTAACGAAAGCAGTTACCGTCCACAGCCATCCGCTCTCTGAGCTCCTGCTGAAGACGACTCTGTCGGTCCTCCAGCTCCAACTCTCGAGCACTGAAACACATCAGAGACTCCTAAAACCTGGACCCAGACAGTCCTGATGGACCCTGATGAACCTGCAGCTGGATTTAAAAGGTACTTACAATATCATGAGTTCAGACTCATATCGAACCAGAGAGTTCTTCTGCTGGACCAGCTGGAACCACTGCTGCATCAGAGCTGGATTATCCAGTTTACCCAGTCCTACAGAGACCAACACCAGTACAGAAATATCAAACAAGCAATCAAATTCTCTCTCTTCCCTCTCGCAGTTATCTGACAGTCAGTACAGAACAATTTATAGTATTCTACAGCAGAACTACAGTACACAGCTGTAGGATTAGTTAGTATTTAATGCTTTCTAGTACTCTACAGTAAACGAGAGTACACTGATGAACTCACCTTCCAGGTGAAGCTCGAGCTCGTGGTCGTTGTTCGAGTCTCCCCAATAATCTGACAGAAACATTAAATTCATTAACATCTAAATAATTAGATACGTTGATCATTGAATTTCTGTTAACGTTACATTTTATTGAATTCACAAATGTATTTAAATGTTTTTAAATGAAAGTTCTTGAACACCTAAATCTGTAAATCTGTCCTTATTGTACACCAACCAGTTTGAAATGTTTCACCAGCACACACCTGACAGGTAACGAAAACAGACTGAACAGTGGGCCCAGTGTGGACCCCTGAGGAACCCCGACTTTATAATTTAAATATCTTTATGTTTCTCTGTTTGATACAGTTTCATACAGTGGCTGTGTGTACATATATATTATATATTAAACTGTATAAATATAAATACTACATATAAACTGTATGTGTGTGTTATTACCTGCTTCTCCTCTCAGAGCTTTCTCCACCATCACTCCTCTCTCCTCCAACTGTCTCTGCTTCTCCTCCACCTGCTGCAGCTGCCTCTGGATCATCTGAAACAAACACAGTCCCTGAGTGCCTGTCTCACCTGTCTCACCTGTGTGTTATTGTTTGACTTTGGTGTTTTAACACGTTCATTTTTCACAACCTCTTGTGTTCTGTGAGCTAAAATTATGTTTTTGTCAATGGAATTTGGTGGCTTTGAAGAGAGCACAGCCGAATATATAACACCAGACTTCATTAAACCAAACTCAATACAATAAAAGTTAAATTTAACAATAATCCTCAGGTGGACCTGGTCTTTAACCCTGATGGTCCCTGTCCTCAGGTGGACTCACCTGGGCTTTGTGGAGTCTCTTCAGCTGCTCCTGTTTGGCCTTTCTTCGAGCCACTCTCTGAACTCGTCTGGTGATTTTGGCATCCAGGGCTTCCTCGTCCTCTCGTCCCTTCTCGAACATGGTCTCCTTCACGCTCAGACTGGATGGCTCCTTTGGCTGGACCAGGACCCCAACCACCTCGGTGGGACAGGAGGATGATCCATCAGAGTTCTGGATGGGAACTTTTTCCTTCAGAGAGCGTCTCTGAAACAACACAATCAACAGTGTTACAAGAAGTCTACCAGAGGGTCTGATGGACCCCGTTATAAACGGAACTGATGATCACGGGTCGGTACCTTGATGGCGTACGCTCGTTTAAATGCCAGAGCGTGAGGGACGTACGCAGGCTGAGAGACAGGAAGTAAAAAAACAATCAAACACAGACGAGTCTTTAAAGTTAATACTAATACTAATAGTTCTAACTTTTCTCTTCAAGGAAACGTCCAAGTCGAGTCTCGAGTCTTTGGAGGCTCAAGTCACTTGAGACTTATGAGTCCAGACTAAGTCTAAGTCTAGTCTAAAGTTTTTTGGTCAGTCAAAAGTCCAGGTCGACTGGGACAAATCACAGACGGGTCTTAAGTTAAGTAAGTCAAGAATTAAACCACTTGTGACTTATTCAAATCTAATCTGAAATTGTTTCAAGTAATTTAAGACAAATTAAGCCTGAATAAGTCAAGAAAAATCCAAGTCAGTGGAGACAAGTCTCAAGTCAGTCATAAGAAGTCCAGGTCAACTGAGGTAAATCGAAGACAAGTCTTTAGTCACTTGTGTCGAGTCAATGTCAAGTTTCAAGTATGTGAAGGCTCAAGCCACTTAAGACCAAGTCAAGTCTGAAACTGTTGAGATAAGTTTCAAGTCATTTGGGACAGGTTGGTTGACTCCAAGTCCAGCCTCACATCAAGTCTCAAGTTTGTCAATGCAAGTCCAAGTCAAGTATTCCTGTAAAAGTCTTTCATGTCTCTGAGGGCTGAGTATGATCTCATTCGAGACCAAGTCTCCAGTCTGCAGCCGTCGGTCAGTTTAAACATTCATTTGGTCTCTATTTGGCTAATAGAAACCTAACTCCACCACGACAACCTAAAACAACTTTCTACACTGTTTCCTGAATCTAGGACAGCTGATACCTCCTGGTTCTCCTCCTCCTCCTCTTTTATTGTGACTCTCTGAATTTCAGACGTGAGGTCAAACAGCTCCAAACGCAGCTGTGAACATCAGAACGAGACCGTTAACTCGAGGACGTCTACAGGCAGGTTTCAATCCAGTTATTAGTCTGATCCCGTAAGGTGGGCCGCTACAGCATTACATAACGCCTCATTTACATATTTAAACAGAACATTTCAGAAAACTTGTAATACAAGAAATAATTGTTGCAATGTTAGAAATCAACTGGGGAAGTTTCATCCTGACATTTGTTAGTTTGAATTTTGACCCCATTTGCCTGTAGTGAAGTTTACAAAAGTTTCTCAAAATGATTTTTTTCTCAAACTCTGAACCAAAAATCTCCAGTTCAGCAGCTCTTACAGACACCAAACCCTCCAGTTTTAGTCCTCTTTATATTCTGAAGGTTTGTACTGAGGGCTTTGTTCATATATCATTCACAGCCTGATTTATTTCACATTTAATTACTGAAAACATGGCGACAATGAAATTATTATTATTATGAAAGTCTTACGTTGTTTCTGGGTCCCAGGGAACACCTCTGTAGCAGAACTGAAGAATCCAGATCAGACTCTTCTGTCAGACCTCTTCTCCCATCTGAGGACAAACAGGAAGTATAATTATTACCTCATCGCTGTGACCTCACTCTGTCTGTATGTATTTCTCTATGACATCATCACCTGTAGCTCTCCTCTGATTGGCTGCGTCCTTCCTCTCTGCACCTGGAGGTAAAGTCTGACTCCACTTCTTCTTCTTCTTCTTCTCCTTCCTGTTTCCGGAGAACATCGCCCTCCACATTGCTCTGGCCCCGCCCTCCTCCACCTCCACCTGTCTGGTGGGCGGAGCCTCTCTCAGCCCCTTCAGCTGTAGGAGGAGAGCCCCGGGGCCGCCCTGCAGAGGGGGGAAGAGGAGGCGAGGGGGGAGGCTGTGTGCTCCTCTGTGTCTCCTCCGGCTCTTCGCCGCCTCTTCCTCCTCCTCCTCCTCTGGCTCCGCCCCTCTCCCCTGTAGGAGGAGGGGCTTCTGCTGCGGTAGTTCTGGACTGATGTCATCAAACGAGCCCCGCCCTTCCACAGGCTGCCGGGGGGCGTGTCTCTGAGTGGCCGTTTCCATGACAACAACAGGTGAAAGCTGTGTGGGCGGAGCCGGGTCGCTGTCGGAGCTAGGCGTGGTGACGAAGGAGGCGGTGGAGGGCGTGTTGGCGGTGGGCGGAGTCTCAGACGCAGGAGTGAGGGAGGCGACGCAGGGCAGCGGGCTGGAGGCGGAGCCAACAGGTGTGTCACAGTGTGTGATGTCACTTCCTGCTGCTGAGGAGACGCTCTGAGAGAGGAGAGGAAACTCGTCCTCTGAGGGAAGAGAGGACACAAAGATGGAGGAAGAAGAATTTAAAATCCAAGTAAATTTTATATTTTAATTATCATTATTATTCTAATTATAAAAATGCAAACAAAGTAGAAATATGTGCTGGGACACAATGACGGCATCAATATTACAATATTTTCTTCATGCAAGACAAATTTCTTTAAACTAACAACTTTTTAAAACATTTATTTTTCCACCAGAGATCACAGTAAAAATCAAGCTTTTACTCTCAGCATTATTTAATTAATTAATTAGATAATTTGACCAACAGGATGAAATAAAACAAACTGCCTTAAAACAAACTTAAATTAAAATAATACTAATGTTGTTAAATCAATCACATGAGATCACCGACAGCAGCTTCATGCTGTGTGTCACTGCGCTGAAGTTCTTCTTAATTTCACGACTTTTTGACTGTAGTTTGGTTAGTTTGGATTCTACCTGTTTCTTCCTCTAAAAGGAGCCAGAGGCCAGAGTGCCGCTCCATGTCCCAGGGGCTGTACTCGCCCTCTACCAGCAGGGGGAGACACATCACAACAACACATCACAACACATCACAACACATCACAACACAACACAACACAACACATCATCACAACACAACACAACACTGCACAAATACACATCAGAACACAACACAACACAACACAACACACAGACAGCAGAGGATTCAAACTACAAACCAGACAAAAAAAGACTCACCGTCACTGGACTCCACCTCACTGCCTCCCTCCTCTTCCTCTTCCTCTTCCTCCACCTCTCCCTCCTCGTCCTCCTCATCGTCGTCGTCCTCCTCCTCCTCCTCCTCCTCCTGGTCGTCTCTCAGGTGGAGCTGTAGAGTTTCCCTCCATGAAGCTCTGGCCTTCTCTGAGGTCACGCGATGTCGACCACCGCCCTCTTCCTCCTCCTCTTCCTCCATCTCCGACTCTGAACTGAAAACACAAACAGACAAACTGGAGTGTCACTGCGAGGGGGTGGAGATCACAGACGTACGGAAGATCATCACTGCCAGAAAAATAAAAAATAAAAACAAATAAAAAAATACTCAAAATCTGTCATATTTTATTGTCAATTAACAGGAAAAAGTCACAATTTTGGTGTAAAAAAAGTAATTTTCAAAAAAGTAATAATTCTAACTTAAAAAGTTGTTGTGATGAAGCATTTTTATCTTAAACATACACATTAATTTGGATTCCTAAGCCCCGCCCCCTTTTGCTTTGTGCTCCAATCACAGTTGAACAAACCTCAGTCAACTTTGTCCTTTCCTGTACTTAGATATGCTACATGCTAGGCTAATCTATGTCGAAAAGGCAACCACACTTTGAAGATTGTTAAAAGATAAAAAGAGATACTTTAGTTAATGTTAGTAAAACACTAGCTAACTATGAAGGGTTAGTTGTGACCTATTGAGTCATATTTATGTAATTGTGATGTAAAAAGTCTTAAATAAAAAACTTCATAAAGGTGAAGTTAGATGCGTTTGACTTGAAAAGTTGTCAAATGTAATTAATTTTTTACTTAAAAGATTTTGACCTTAAAAGTCTAATTTGTGACTTAAAAAAGTGTATTTTGATATATGTAGCTCTATATTCTGTCCTTTATTATTTGTGAATATTCCTAATATTTCATGTAATTTTATCTTTTCCTGGCGTTAGCGACCTTCCATACAGAGCAGACTCTGACCTGGATCTGTGGTTCATCTTCTCGTCCAGGCTCAAGTTGAACCGGTTCAGTATCTCCTCAGAGACCTCCTCGGGCTCCTCGGGCTCCTCCAGCAGCTCTGCCTCCACCTTCGTCGAGCTCCGCCGGTAGTTTTCCAGCTCGATCCTCTCCGGCGTCCCCACCATCACAGAAACAACTGCAAACACACCAACACAGCCGCACACACACACAGACACACACAGAAACACACACACACTAAAGCCCACATTGATTCCAGTTTAAGGAGCGTGCTCAGTGTGAACAGGTATGAAGACTGAAAGGACGACGCAGGTGAAGTGGACTCACCTGAGGACCGACGGCGGTCGGCAGAGATCAGAGAGTCTGCAGAGGAGAGTGATGGAGGTGGAACCAGAGACGCCTGTGGAGAAAACCATCACACCCCAATTCTTACTGCTCATCAAATATATAAAAGATAGATTAATATAGTTTATATAATATAGTTAATGTAGTTACAGTTAGTTATATCTGGATTTATATAAAGTTTTTAAGTTTCAGTTTATTTTTCATTTCAACTTTAAAACAAAACAATGGACCCTTCTTAAGTCCCGCCCCCTTTTGCTCTGTGCTCCAATCACAGTTGAGCTAGCCTCGGTCACCTTCCTCCATCCCTATAGTTACTATCTCGCTAATCTCCATCAATGCTAAGCTAGATCTTTATCCATATTAACATAAAAACAACAAAATACGATACACGGACAACCACATGGAGATATAAAATCAGGGCTAACATTAAGAAGTGACTATGTGTCTCTTTTATCTTTAAATTATCTTCAAAATGTCTTTTCAACATAGATTAACCTGAATATCGAGAGAAAATGTTTTTGCTTACGATTGATGTTCGCTGTGAAGGCGCTCCCTCAGACGGCGCCGCTCGCTTCCTCGCAGCCGGAGCGCTCAGGCGGGAGTCGAAGTGCTGAAGACAATAAAACCTCCCTGACAGACAGAAAGACAGACAGACAGGCAGACAGACAGAAACAGCATGTCAGCACGACACCGAAGCTCATGTTGTTCTTATACTGACATTCAAACACAATCCCGCCTCTAACTTCAAACTCTGTCCATGTGACCTCTGCGCTCTGATTGGCTGTTGAGAGATTGAACCAAACAAACAAACAAACAAAAAGGAGGTCTTGTTTTATTTCTTTTTTTCCCCAAGCTCTAAAAACACACAATACGAGCTTTGTGGGACCAAAATACACCAAAACACACACACAGAAACACACACACAGGCA